GGGCAATGTTCTGCTGGCAAACCTTGGGTCCTGCCATCCATGTGGATGTTACTTTGACACGCACCACCTATCTAAGCATTGTTGCAGACCATGTACACCCTTTCATGGAAACGGTATTTCCTGGTGGCTGTGGCCTCTTTCACCAGGATAATGTGCCCTGCCACAAAGCAAATCCTGGTGGCTGTGGCCTCTTTCAGCAGGATAATGCCCCTGCCACAAAGCAAAAATGGTTCAGGAATGGTTTGAGGAGCACAACAACGAGTTTGAGGTGTTGACTTGGCCTCCGAATTCCCCAGATCTCAATCCAATCGAGCATCTGTGGGATATGCTGAACAAACAAGTCCGATCCATGGAGGCCCCACCTCGCAACTTACAGGACTTAAAGGATCTGTTGCTAACAACTTGGTGCCAGATACAGGGGTCTAGTGGAGTCCATGCTTCAACGGGTCAGGGCTGTTTTGGCAGCAAAAGTGTAAAAGTGTTAATGTTATACCTGATCGATGTATATTCCTGGTTTTGTTGTGAATGATTCTTTGGTGCTTTGCGTCTGAATGATTGTGAAGAATGCTTCAGTTGGTTTTTTTATACAATGAAAGTGAATGGGGTCCAAAACAAAACCAGACTCTATTGATTTTCATTGTACGGACAAAAAGCAAACTGAAAAGTTTCAAAATATATATATTTGTTGTCTTCCGCAGAAGGAAGTAAGTCATACAGATTTAGGAAGACATGAGTGTAAGCAAATGAAGGCCCACTGTTGAAAAATCCATCTTCCAAAGGCAATGACCTCTGCCCTTAGCAATAATTCTGATCAACAACTACTTACAGATGCTAATAACAGTTAAAGCAAAATTTGTTCTCCATATAGCAGAATTGAAACAACATTCTGTTGTTCTCTTACAAGGCCAGATTGTTTTAATTAAAGTAAGCTTCACTTTGGCATTCCCTCTGCCTGAAGGCCTCCTGAAGTCTTTCTCATTTTATGTGGAGCCGTTACAAAAGCTAGCATCTAAGACAAGAGCAATCTGGTTCTTATCATTATGCTAATGTTAGCCCAACATTTAAGCATTTAGTGGAGAAAAGAAGGACATTTAAAAGCGATGAGATCCCCTCTTAAGATAAACCCCCATTATATGCTAATTGTTTCTTAGTTACAGTTCTTTCAGATCGTTATCAAAACGGCACGATTTAGACTGTTTGTTGAGTGTTAGGCGGAAGTCAGTTATTTTCACTTGTCGATAAAAGCAATTTTGTGTTTCTAAGTTTCCTGTTAAATATGTTTGATGGTGAGTTTTGTATATTATAATTTTGCATCAAAGCGGCACATTAGAATGTACATTTAGGTCTTATTTGCTTAAACAGAAACCTTGTGGTGTAATTTTTTTAATTTGACTGAATGAATATTTGAAACATTTACTTGGAATATTTAAAACATAACCTGGTTTTGCATTACGTGGAAACTTCCAGTGGCTTTCAAGATAAAACTCAACCGTAATGAGACTAAATTAGTGTAATTTATCATAACAGAAGTGCAATGATTGTAGCTGCACTGTAATTGTACACTTGTGAGCAGTCAGCCAAAGCAGTAGTGTAAGTGTACAGCATTCCAGGAACTCGAGCAGAGCGTGAAAGTGCTTGGGAAACCTAGTGAATTTGCAGCTGTTAGACGCATTTCACATGCATCATAGCAACATAACATTTCATCAGACTAGTGCACTTGTGTTCATTCATAGTGTGCTGGAGTTCAAATGAGGTGGACCAGCCTGTTCACATTTTAGTTTCAGACATTATCTGTAGGTGTTATCGCTGAGTGGGAATTTTGATGCCCTAATTCCCAGGAGAAAGCCATCAAGGGAATCAGGGGTTGACATTACACCTCAGCTGGGGTTCTATAACACCTCTGGGACACTCCCTCTGTCCATACACACATATGGTGGAAAAATGGGATACTCTGTCCAAGCCAGAAAAAGGCTTTGTTTTGGTTCCCCCCTTTTCAAAACAAATGGAGCGCCTGCTCTTTTTTTTTTTGGTCTGTGTGTGTGGGTTGTGCTCCACTAGTTGTGGCCTTGAAATTTGGTGACCCCAACAAACATTTCCACATTTAATGTCCTCCCTATTTATCCATTGATCTATTGTTCAGGCCTTTTCCTTTTCGTCTGGCATTCCTCCCAGTGTAGGATTTGGAAACTGTCCTATTAAATTATTCAATTCCTTTACTGTCATTGTACAACAAAATGTGTTGCGTGACTTCCAAGGCATAGTAAAAACTTGGCAAAGACAAGAAAAAACCCCAAATCAATGAAAGTTAGTTTCCAAATATGATGAATTGGCTTTTATTTTTATATTTTCAGTATTAATTTTAATTAAAGTTAAAGTTTAAGGAATTTATTATGTTCTTTTGTCATTTATTATTTCATTAATTTAGCTTTTGGTAATTTTTATTTCAGTATTAGTTGTTTAATTTGAGTATTTTAACTTAAATGCAATATTTATAATTTTCAGTTTTTTTTTTAAAGTAGCATGTTTTCTTTACATCCAATATAGATTTATTTATTTATTTTAGCTTTATTTCAAGTATCAAAATCATTATCATCTTTTAATGGTATTTTTTTGACTTAGTGGCCACAAAATGCCATGTATTTCCATAGTACAGGATGGTCCTTAAGCTATAAACTTTGATGTTCTCAACTTTTCAATTCTTTGCCTCCAGACACACTGTTTTTTGTAAATAACAGCTGAGAAAATCCAGCCCTCTCATTTAGGATGAGGTCAATGATCTGTCTTCTGCTTGCTCTGCTTTTTTCAATTCAAGTGGTCATCTGGTACTACCTATAGGACTCTATCTCTGCAGTCCATCTAAAGTGTGCTTGAGTTTCCATGGCTGACCGAAGGGTTCGCTGAATACAGCCTTTGTAAGGAAGCCCTCTGTTACGCGTCACTGAGACCAGCCCAGGGGGCAGGAAAGGGTGTTCTCTTCCTGTACCTTGACCCCCCCCCCCCGCAAAGATGCCCTCAGTGCCCTCTTACAAACACCTCCACACACCCATCCCCCGTCTCTCAATGGACCAGCCTTAAAGACAGGAAAGATGATAGTAAGTTTACAGACAATGAGGTCATGGCGGCACTGAACCAATCCATGCCGGCTCTTGGAAAATTAGACACAGATTAGAAGAGCAGGGACTGTGGGAGTGGCCGTCTAACTGTTGGGTACTTTTCAGAGAGCTTGTTTCGAATGTCAAATCTCAAGAAACAATGTGCTATTACCTTTCTAAATGATCATTCTTATAATTTTCTACTGACAGATGATAAAACAGGAAAAAAAATCCTGTAGATTTACACTAACGCTCAAAAGTTTAGGGTCGGTAAGATTTAAAAAAATCTTCTCACAATTCCGACTTTTTTTTTCTCAGAACTGCAAGATGTGAACTCACAATTGCGAGTTACAATGTCAGAATTCAGACTTTGTTTCTCGCAGTTGCGAGATTGCCACACAGTTTTGACTTTATATCTCACAGTTGCGAGTTTACATCTCACAGTTCTTAGAAAAAAGTCAGAATTGTGAGTTAAATGTGGCAATTAACTTTTTATATATTATTCAGTCGGGGAGACAAGATTCCATAAAAAACAGTGATATTATGAAATATAAAAATTTTAAATAAATTGTTTTATTTCAGTGAATCATCACATGATGCTTCAGAAATCATTCAAATATGCTGATTTGGTGCTGAAGAAACATATTTTTTATTATCAAAGATGAAAACGGTTGTGCTTAATATTTTTGTGGAATCCATGATCAATTATTTAGAATTCTGTGAATAAAGTGCAAAAGAACAGCATTTATTTGAAATAGTAACAACATATATAATTTAACACAAGATTTCTGTCTCTTTTGATTAATTTAATGTGTCCTTGATGAATAAAAGTATTAATTTCTTCAAAAAACAAAACATTTGACTGTGTACATAAAAAGAGGTAATCAAGCCATATTTAAGAGACCAGAATATCATACAGACAGTTTTGACTTGAGCCTGTAAGAAGCCACCTAGCAACCACATAGCGACATGCTAAACACCAATCAGAGCACCTTAGAAACCACATAGCAACGTTCTGGCACTCACATTTTCTTCAGAGAATGTGAAAATGCAGTTTTAAACAGCTGTTCCTGCTTCTTTCTCTCATCCTGTCCAACCACAATTGTTTATTCCTCTCTGTTGAGAAGTTTGTTTAGTTTGTGAAGTTTTAACACGTGAATACTTGGAGATCATGCTTTTAAATATGTGGCAATGCTTGTCTGTATGTGTTTAAACATTTGGATGTGTTTGTGATAACCCAGGGGGAAAAACAGCTGTAGAAGCAGCTAGCTTGACTTCAGCAGTCTCGGCTCTTGTTTTCTCATTGACTTATTACCCAGTGGGCCTGGTGTGTGTGTGGTTGTGTGTTGGCGGTCACATGTTGCCAACCAAGTTGCTAACCGTTGCACATGGCCACAGTGTTACATAATTCAGCTCTGTATGGTTGATTATGAGACAGTCCATTTCCTCAAAGATCATAAGTTGTCTGCTGGTCTTTATTATATTTAAATCGTAATAAAATTCAAAATAAGGCTAATATCAAGCTTTTGAATTCTAGGAAATTGAAACTAAAAGTAACAATTCTGTAACTACCTTTATTTAGTAGTGTATAGCTTTCCAGCAAGCGTAACAATGCAGCATAACAAAATATGTTTTCTTCAGTTTAAATCTCATTTTGATTGTAACTCAACATGCAACTGTTTCAAAACGTCTTCCCAACACTGTTTTCTTCATCTGGCGTCTTCAACATAGAAGGATAGATGTTGCTTTGCAGCTCTGATGTTCAAATCCAAACTCTTTAACAAAGCTTCCAGTAGACTTTTTGTGAATCGGAACACTGTTGTACTTGTCCTGCTCTCTTATAAATATTCCTCATAGTCTTATTAGTATGCTAACAGCTTCCTTCATCTTTTTTTTCTCTATGAACAGTGTGAGTATTATAGTTGGAGCACCCAAAGCCAACACCAGCCAGCCCAACATCAGAGAAGGAGGATCAGTCTTCTACTGTCCATGGAGCCTCAGCCAATCACAATGCAGCAGCATAGAGTTTGATAGACAGGGTAAGTCTCACTGACCAGTTGATGTGGGTGGTCACAAAAAGATTAGACTTGATTAAATTTGTTGTGTGCTTTTGTCACTTTTTATTTAGTTTTTGGTTTGTCTATATACTAATTTAGTGAATAAGAATGTACACTGCTAATTGTGTACCATCACTTAAATTGGATCCAGTATTTTGACTTCAGTTTCTACTTCCTCCCCAAAACAATCCTAGTATTGATGGATATCTGCTCCTTCCATTATGTGCCTTCTTCAAAGCTAGCACCTTTTCGTTGCACAGCTTTTTCCCTTTCATTGTGTAGATTTTGCTCTGAGAGGGTGATGGAAGATGGGATTTAGACGGAGCGAAGGCAGACAAGTGCTCAAGCAGACTTCCTCATGTACATGCAGGCTCTGATTTTCTTAAATTAGATGTGTTTCTCAATCAGGAAGGCAGAACATGATAGCTAGCAACTGCTAAACAATGGCTGAAATGGGTAGATAGAGATGGTTTTATGTAGTTTCTTTCTGTAAGTCGGATTCTGATGCAAAACTGATCTGGAATGCCGTCACAAGTGGTGTTCCCAACAGATATTCAATCTTGATATGAACAGAGACTGTGTAGCTTTGTGGCTGTCTTGTTAGTGCCTGCATGTTAACATTGCTAGCATTGTTGGTCGTTGATCTACTCGCCATGCCAGAATAATTTCTGTTGTGGTGGTGATTTAAAACATAAAAAATGCATTTCATTAGGATTCAGATTTCTGTGCACTACAACCAGAAAAAAAAAGAATAAGTAGAGACCGCAATGTATGCTCTATCAATTGTGTATTGTCTCTTTTCTTGAAGCAGATGGAGTCTTAAGAACTGTTCCAAGTTGCTGAGTATGTAGAACACATGTCAGGGGACAATGAAGTGTTCACAGTCTCAATGAGAGACCGTTGGCTTCCTTCCTGTGGAATCAAAGTCTCCTCTGAAAATCCAAGATGTGATTTACTGTCTATTACTCAAACACACGGAGATATATTCCAACAAAACTGTCACAAAGATCTATTTTTTTTAAAATTTTCTTTTGTTTTGAAACTCATGACGCACAGCTGCATGTTCTAGAAAACAGCCAGGTAGCAGATTTTGCTACGTAGGGCTTTTTTAGCAAACATATTGTGTGCTTATGAGTCATGTAAATGTCATGCTCTTCTTTTTATTACATTTGACTTCAATTAAAACATAATGTTATTTTGGTTTAACTCAATTGTCAAGCAGAAGATCATAATTGAATTAAGCTAATACCCCGTGATGTGTGATGTATTACAGAGGCTGGTTTAACCTCAGAGGTTAATGCTTATCCAATGATCATTCAATTAGATGTCAATACATCCTGACAGATCCAAAATGGTTAATATTTTGACAAGTGTTTTTTTTTGGCTTTTACTTCAATTTCATTTAGTGTCAGCAGTTCAGGACATAACCAAAAATAGAGGCATGATATTAACCACCTTTTTAGCACAGTTGGTTCTTGAAGTATTTTTATTTTATTTTATTTATTTATTATTATTATTATTTGTTATTATTATTATTATTATTTTTTATTTTTTATTTGGAAGCACATATCATTGTTTAAGAGCTCATAATAGGTCTTTCCAGTCTCAGAAATCAGGAGTTAACCTGATATAGTGCATGGCAATAACCTTCTTTGTAGCACCCGTAATTTTGCAAGTATTTTTTAAATTATTATTATTATTGTATTTTATATTTTATTATTATTTTAATTTTTAATTTTATATTTATTTTTTCATTTGAAAGCATATATCATTGTTTTAGACCCTCATGTTAGGTCTTTCTAAGAAGTCAGGAGATGACCTGAAACAGAGCATGACATGACATTATACAGTATATTTTATTTTAGATTATTTATTAGTTCATATTATTTAATGTATTATGTTATCATTAAAAATCAGTTTCTCTAAAAATATGAATTATGCATATAACATTGCAGCTCAGTCTTATGTTGCCTCCATTTCCATTTTACATTGAGCCACAGCAAATATTTCAAATGAAGACCTCACCACTTAAATCTGGACTTGACCCTGCGGCCACTGATGCACCATTGGTTCTCCTAAGTGGGCCGCAAGAGGGTCACTTATAGTACTTCCTCCTGCCTAACATTTGTCAGTCAGAGAGAGCATTAGCTAATCGTGTCTTCAGATCTGACCTCTTTCCTCTTCCTCTCTGATAAGAAAATAACCGAGAATGATGAGAGTGGGCGGGAATCAGAGGAGAGAGAGCGTTGACTCTTGTCTATTCTCATTTCCCTGTCTCCCGGTGTCTCCACGGGGACGCTTGATGTGATGACTGAATTTAGCCACGTGGCTCGTGCCTTCCGCTACCCCTCCCTTTCTCTCACACAGATCAAGATACTCCACTAATGGGGCTCTTCTCTCATCACTGAAAGAGAGAGGTGTGTGTGTGACCTCCTCGCCTCCACCGTCCCATGAGAGAGTGCCAGGTCGTCTTGGCCTGACTCCAGGAACTGAGAGCACTCTTAGGATTAGCAATAGAGAGAATTTTGATTAAAATGGCTGTACATCACAGCAGAGGTGTCTGTTAAGGTGCATTAATTGTTTGAATACTGCCTCTTAAATCCTGTAGGTGACATCAGCATTAGTCTCATGTTACCAGACTAAGGTTCTGGTCCACATTACAGCTTACTCCGGCCAAGAACACTTAGACATTTGATTAAACCAAGTACTCCTTTTTATATGATGTTGTTGGATTTAACCTTGAGCAAAGTGGAATCTGTAATTTGTTTGCAACAAACAAAACTCTTGGAATATCTTTCGAAGAATCAGTTGAAGCTTCCATGAACCATGACCCAAATCCAGTGACTTATTCTTCCATAAAAGTGCTCATTGCTGCCTGGGAACTTACTCTGTTTCCAGTTGAACTGATAAAAAAATCTGTGCACCCAGATTTTTACAATTTATTTGTAGATTCTATTTTCAATTTGCATTTTTGTTTTAGTTTTTATTTTATATAAAATAGTTGTATTAAATGGTTATATCAGCCATATATTACATTAATGTAGTTATATTAAATACTTTTTTTATTTTATATACAATATAAAAGGCAAGTGTTACATTTCTCAGCACAGTCTAGGTTGTTTTTTGTTTCATGCAGGCAGGTTGTTTAAAGTTTTATAATGTAGCATTTAAATCAATTTAAATTAATTTGTGGCCTTTTATAATTAATTTTAGTTAGTTAATTAGTCATAATTTATTTGTGTAGTTTCAGTTTTATTTCAGTTAGGTTAGTTTTTTATTTGAGTTAATGAAAATATTTTCATTTGACTTTGTTTTATTTATTTTTTACTTTATTTTTTTATTTCTGTTTTATTTTATTGATTTATTTTTGATTAATCATTATCATTAAGAGCTCATGTTAGGTCTTTCTAGATTTGTTATCATTACAAGTTTGTTTGTCTATGGAGAAAGTGAATAATTATTACGCTCTATTTACATTTGAAATGTTGTCAGCAAATATTTCAAATAAAGACCTCACCACTTAAACTAATGTTTTCAGTTTTGTTTCTGTTAAAGATAATAAAACTGCTCAGAAGTTGTGTTAAGCCATCCATTCAGATTAGAGCTTGCCATTTTTGTGTGTTAAATGTGTAAATAAATGCACAGATTCAATCTCCAACAGTTGTAACTCAACCGTATCTTGCATCAGAGTCTTAAACAATCATGACTGTTGTTCTGACACAAAGGGAAATCTCATCCAGTTTTGGGTAGCTCTCCCCTAACCATAGCCAAAAAACACCATTTTCCCCACCTTCCCTACTGGGCTTTATCTTCCCAGCTGTACGCTTTACCCGTGATGTGGAAAGTGAGATAATTGTTAGTTTTAACGGCCCACCTCCATCGACGTTGACTGATTCTCCTCCCACAAACTGTCCCCCCGACCGTGTACTAGTTTTACATTAGCCGGTGTCTTCCATTTACCGTGTCTTAAACACACTTCAATTGAGTTTTCTCCAATCCAGGGCTGCTGGTTTTCCTGCGTGACTCTTTAGGCCTCTTTACTTTGGCGAGCGAGCGAGGGAAAGACGGAGAGGAAAAGAAAGAGAAAACCATCACCCTGGAGGAGACCATAAGGCATATATCCTCTAATGTTATTAGAGGGCTCTAATCCCCACTGCTTTCCTGCTGGGGTACCAAACATCCTTGAGAGAAGGAAACAAAAGACGTCTGGGGAAAAGGAGGCGTGTGTGTCTGTCTGTGTTAAGGGGTGGTTTGGAAAAGAATAGGACAAGTATACAGAGATGACAAGTAGAGGGAGATAAAGAAACCATACAAGATAGTAAAGGAATGAGTGGGAGATGGTGACTTAAATGGAGAAACTAATGAAGTGGAATTCCTAGAAAGGGATGACAGACTTTCAGAAAGGGAAGAGGAAGGTGAAGGGTGCTGTGAGCTGAAGACGGAGAGCAAGAGAGAGTGTGTGTTTGTATCAGTAGGAGTGTATCTGACAGGTAGCTTGAACTCCTGTTTTGCTTGGATGAAGGTTCCTGTTTCCTCATTCAGAATGAGACAGTCTTTTTAGACAGAATCACACAAAGAAATGTTAGGGTTATATTTCACCCTAAAATCGAAAATGTTGCATAAAGATTTGACATGGCCTATGTCAAGACCGCTATTTTTTTTGTATTATGACAATTATGTATTATGTCCATAATTATGTATTATGTATTATATTATGACAATTATGCATACAATTTACATTACTGTGACATTAAATATTTTTATTTTCAATGTAAAAAAGCTATGTAAAAATAATAAAAAAAAAATAAAAAAAAAATATATATATATTCCCCATTCATTCATTTTCTTCTTTATTTTCTTTTTAATACTGCCATGTTTAAAGTTGTATTTTACATTTGGTCATTTAAATTTTTAATTTTGATTTTAATAACTATAATTTTAATAATTATAAATAATCCTAATTATGAATAATTTTTTTTGCATTACAAAAAAATTATATATTTTTTAATATTGGTGCTTAATATTTTGGCTGATTTAATTGTAGACTTGGTTTTCTTTTATGCAAAATATAATTTCCTATTCTTCTTCTTTTGATTTGGGGCTACAGTATGATCCAGACATTTCTTGACAGTTTTTGTAATATTAACCCACATAACTTGAGCTCCTGTTTTGTTTGGATGAGGCTCCCTGGCACAGTTTCTTCATTCCGAATGAGACCAGGCCCTCTTAGAGCCAGCTGAGAATTGTGTTACCGCCAGTTTTACCTTTCACACATTTCTCCTCTTCCTCAGTCTCTCTTCCCCCCTTCCCCTCCATCACACCACAGAACCCTGTTGCATCATGCTTGTAATTATGGTTCAACTGGAGAAATGTCTGTGGCAAAGTTCAGTTTGGCAGTCAGAAAGGGGAACGGAGCATTTTGGAGACTTTCGGGCGATTCATTTAGAATTTTCTGGCCTAGTGACTTCTCTGGCAGTTGAACCTGATCTCTGATGGTTTTGGTCTGGTGGTCTATTTGTTGATTCCCAGCCTCTCTCATTGGCCAGCATGTTGTCCTTTGTTTTGATTATGAATCCAGTTTCAGCCCATATGTGACCATCTGTTTTTCCCCTTCTTGTGCCGGCACTTCATGATATGACCTTTAACCTCAGTGGACACCTGAGCCTGCATTGTACAGTCTGTTCTTTTTTCCACCTTGGTTTTTTCATTTTATTAGGGGTCTAAATGTGCTTAAAATCACATTTGACTAATGTGATGTGACATTTCTGAGTGCAACAGAATATTCACTCGGAAATAATGTTGGGCATGATGTGATTTTGGTTGTGAAATGCACTGATATTTATTGTAAATTTTTTTACTCTGTCCACACGACTTTGAAAAATGTTTAAAAGGAGATGTTTATAAGTTGATAAAACATTATTACAAATATCTATCTATCGATCTATCTATCTATCTGTCTATCTGTCTATCTGTCTGTCTGTCTGTCTGTCATTATTTTATTTTTTAGGCTTTACATTCTAGCACAATGATGTTTAAATTTTTTTTTATTTATTTGTTTTATTTTTTATTTTTTTTTTATAGGAGATCTAAATGTAACCCTGAATGATTCAGTGCATCAGGGAGAGTTCAAATCCCATCAGTGGTTTGGAGCAACAGTACGAGTGCATGAAGATAGTGTGCTGGTAAGATCTTCTTACTCCTATTTTAGGCTGTGTGGATAATAGTCAGTATAATAATCAGACATAAACCGTCCTTCAAATCATGACAAACCATTATATCCTCTTGAACATTTGTGCTTGGACACAAAGTGTGGTTGGTGACTCAATTCTAAGTTCATGTTCTTAAATTATCTGTGTAAGTCTCAAATTATGAATAATCAGATCCAGCTCTATTCATTTGTTTTTATTTGTCTATTCATTCGTTCATTCCTTTGTATTCCTTCTCAATTTGAACTTTGACTCTTTTGGCTTGTGGATAATGCTTGATCTGTAATATCAAAAGTCTAGGTGATGTCCCTTGTGGATTATCAAACTGTGACTTTAATTTATCATCATGGTTGCTTTATCATCAGGGTGTTCTTTGTACTCTGCTAGCATGGAGGTGACCTTTAACTTCGTGCATTATCCTTTCCATAGGCTTGCGCCCCCCTCTACTCATGGAGAGCCAAGGAGGACACACCTCGTGCTGATACTACCGGCTCATGTTTTCTGTCCGTCAAAAACTTCACCAAGTTTGTGGAATATGCTCCGTGCCGCACAGGTAGGCTTGCAGTCACTGATGATTTTGTTTAATTTGAGTTGTTTTAAAGTCCCAGTAACATAACTTACCATCCATTGCAGAATTCCATGAAAGAAAAGGACAAGGCTACTGTCAAGGTGGATTCAGTGCTGATTTTACACAGGTGAGATGATATTGGAACTGAATAGAACACAAAGCTTTGCTTATCTGCTGTTTCCTTCTGATCTCACCTAGATACTGTTGCTATGTTACAGGAAGGAAAGGTGGTGCTTGGAGGACCTGGCAGTTACTTCTGGCAAGGTTTGGCTTTCAAAATAAAAACACTAGTTTTAGAATGGAGTAGAATAGAGTCTTTAAGAGCTCATTACTGTTAAAAAGTAAAAAAAAAAAACTTTTATTCAGCAACGATGCATTAAATTGATCAAAAGTGAGAGGCATACAGTATGTAATGTTACAAAACATAATTTCTATTAAAGACTGTGTATATATGTTGTTCTTTTAAACTTATTCACCAAAGAATCCTGGGAAAAAAAATGCATCATGGTTTCCACAAAAATATTAAGTAGCACAACTGTTTTCAGCATTGACAATAATAAGAATATAATGATTTCTGAAGGATTGTGTGGTACTAAAGACTGAAGTATGTTTGCTGAAAATTCAGCTTTGCCTACATAGGAATAAATTACATTTTAAAATATATTAAAACAGAAAATTATTTTAAATTTTGATAGTATTTCATAATATTGCTGTTTTTTATGGTATTTGTGTAAATGTAGCCTTGATGAGAATAAGATTTCAGTTGACCACAGTTGACCACTTTCAAAAAAATCTTACATACTTTTGAACAGTAGTGTGTGTACCTTTCATAAACATAGATGTTTCGTCACTTGACTAGAGTTCCAAAGATTTCTAGATTTCCAAATGTGGATATTTGCATTTATTATATGCATCAACAGTGACATTTAGTTCAATCCAAATGCAATTAAAAGGTCATTTTCTCCTTACCATCTCTAGGCCAAGTAATCACTGCGGTTAAACAAGAAATAGTCAAGGCCTATTACCCAGGATTCTTCTTGACATCAGTGAATGGCCAGATTCAGACCAAACAGAAAAAAGAGATCACATTTGATGACAACTACATGGGTATGTCTTTCTATATCCCCCTTATTAGCTGTCGAGTTGAAAATACTTAGATTTTTTTTTCCTGTTGGTCACCACCCATGGTTTTCATATACGTTTAACAGGTTACTCAGTGGCTGTGGGTGAGTTCAGTGGTGATGATGATGAAGGTGAGTGTTGTGACCCCAAAATATAAAACCTCGACATTTATAGTGCTCATTTAGGTTACAGTTTAACTAGATTATTTTGATGTAATTTTCATTATACTCATTAAAAACAGAAATAGAATGACTGTGACGGTGAATTATCTGCTGTTAGAATTGCCATAAACGGATGTATTAAATCCATGCGCTGTTTGTAGAACCTTTCAATGGAAGTGTTATGATTATACCCTCTTTATGAATCCCTTACACCTAAACAAATTTGAAAATAGAGCTCTTGGAGTGGCTCTGATCGCCAGAATTCTCAGAGATCTTGAGGAACTCACACATTTCCATGTTTCCACTTCTAAAACTTTCTCTTTTTCCTCTCTTTTTTTGCCTCACCTCCTTTCAGACTTTGTGACTGGAGTTCCCAGGGGAGTCAGACTGCATGGACAGGTGAGAGAAAGCAGTCAGACTATAAACTGTCACATTTAGCCAGAGGTCTTTTCACTCAAGATGCGGGTTGAGTCAGATTTTCAGTGGATTAAATGTGACCAAATCCATTAAACATCCACTATAGTATGACTTTTAGTTTGGAATTGGTAATCAAGCAGAGATTTTTATGATGGTACTTGATGGAATGAAAACTCTAGTCTGTTGTCTTTTTATCAGGTTTCCATTCTCAATGGTTCTCTGGATACGCTGAAGACCTTAACTGGTGAGCAGGTAAGTTTGATGCTATTCATTTTATTGCAAGTACAACACATTGGCAACCTCCTAGAACATCCTAGCAGCAACATAGGAATGCACACAAAGCATCTTAGCATCATGGTGACAAGTTTTGTTTGGCCATGCACTAATCATATTTTCAAATCTTGTTTCTAAGTTGTTCTATTGGCTTTTGTGGTGTAATAATATATTTTACTGCAGCTATTTTAGGACGTGACATTTTAACAGAAATTATGTCATTCTTACTACTGATATTACTCTGATATTCTTCAAACCCTTGCACACTGATGACATAAGCAAAAATAATTTCCTTTACAAGTCTCTTTAAACCAAGTTGGAGTGCTCTGCGGTTAGCAGTAACGGACAGATTATGTGAGGCAAGAGCTTACGGGCAATTTTCCTAAACGAGCGCCACAGTTTTGCAAGTGGAAATTGTTGGAGGCCTTTTACTGCTCTGATTGCCTCAGCTGAGTAAATACAATCAAAAAGCATTTGTGTGTGCCCACCTCAGGGGGCTAGAGAGCGAGCCACATCTGAATCATCAAAGAACTCTTTTCATGCACTCAAACCATAACCAAACAGAGTAAATGTCAACGAGTGCCTTCAGGTGTAAAGTTACTGTCCATGTGACATTCATAAGATTATGCATGTTGTTTGTATGTACAGTGTAAAACTGAGAAGCTTGTATCTACACCTGATTCAGATCCGTTACAGTTTTTAATTTTCCTAAATTTTTCAGATGGGTTCCTACTATGGCTATGCAGTGGCTGCTACTGACATAAACAATGATGGGTAGGTAACCATAACCAGGGTTTAGACAAGAATGTACCACAACAATTTGTTCAGTATTTAAGTTTGTGGTTCATATCACCTCCAGGATGACGGACCTGCTAGTTGGGGCTCCCATGTTCATGGTTCGTGACTCTGATGGGAGGTTGGAGGAGTTGGGTCGGGTCTACGTGTACATGCAGAATGGACCTCTGGATCTCACACCTCAGCTACCTCACCTAACCGGCACGCAGATGTTCGGCCGGTTTGGCAGCTCCATTACCCCTCTCGGAGACCTCAACCAAGATGGTTACAACGGTGAGAGATCTGCCCAGATTTTTGCACTTATCTGTCAGTCTTCAGACAATTGTATTAGTTATCAGCCGATAACGGATTTTTTTTTATTGGTTTTGGTTGTTTGATAGATATCGGGCTTTATTTAATTGTGCATGTTAATTTCCCTTATTTTTTCTTTTACCTTTACTGTTGTCTAACGCCAGTGTTATTTTGGTATCATTGTGATACTGTTTTTACTAATATTTTGAATCAGTTTTTTATTTTTAATCTTAGTTAAAGTTTTAGTACAGGCATATTCAAATGGCAGACCAAGGTCAGGGTTGGGACCCAGGCTTGGTTCCAACCGGACTGCTAGACAACGAAGGCAACATTTTACCATTTCTAGATAAAGTGAGTAGCGCGTCAAAACAACGGAGCGGTTCACACCACGAGCGCTCAGGGTCATTTATTGTAATGATCTATCGGCGTTATATCCTCTAAGATTTTTATTTAGAGCCAATCGCGTTTCATGCATGCCCTTCCCGTGTGCATTGATTCTTTATAAAGAAGTAGGGTTGGGTATCGTTTGGGTTTTTTCCGATACCGGTGCCAAATCGATACTTTTAAAACGGTACCGGTGCCTGAACAGATACTTAAAAAAAAAAAAAAGAAAATTACCCAAAATAGGATGGATTGGCCATTATTGAGCGCTATAAACACATTTAATGTCTGTTTCATTCATACTGGACGCCAGAGGGTGCCCTGGCATGGAAACTCCACATGTTCATCACAGAAGGAAAAGGACTCAGGAAATCCCTAATATGGACAAAGGCATTGCTGTAACTGAGTAAACAGAAGATATAAACGTTTTGAATGATAAAACAAAGACAATTTGCCTCATTCTGTGAGAAGAAGCCACATCAGATAACAAAAGGAAGCAGTTGTGGAGTAAAACGTTATAGTGTTCTCTTTTGTTGGACAACAAAACACAAACACGCTTCTCATTGCAAGTCATTAAAAGGGAAGTTTAGCTTTTGGCATTTTAATTTAAGAATGTTTAGCTTAGCTATAATATAGAGAATAGAGTTTTATTTTTAATTTATTTAGACAAAATAATATACTAGACTTTTAATATCTGTCGTTTATCGGTTATCACCTATAACATGAAAGTAAAAAAATGTTCGTTTTGGCCAGAATTTTAATATCATTGCACCTCTAATTCTACAATATTCTCTTAACAGATGTAGCCATCAGTTGTCCGTTTGGTGGGGAAAACAAACAAGGACTGGTGCTCATCTATAACGGACATGCTGGAGGACTCAGGGAAAAGCCCTCTCAGGTGATCGCTGGCCAATGGGCCTCTGGCACAACGTCAGCTCTACCTGCCAGCTTTGGTTACGCCCTTCGTGGAGGCAAAGATCTGGATAACAATGGCTACCCAGGTGAGAAAACTTAGTCTCTTTAGCTACCATAAACCACCGCCATTACTGTTGAAATCTAGTCTGATACCATGTTTTGTTTTGTTTTTTTCATGCAGATCTTATTGTTGGCGCATTTGGTGCAGACGCTGCAGTTCTTTACAGGTCAGTCACAGACATGAAGACTAGAGTAATGGCTGCTGAAAATTCAGCTTTGTCATAACAGGAATTAATTACATTTTAAAACATATTAAGATTATAATAAACAATTAATTAAAATTGCTATAATGTTTCACAATATTACTGTTTTGATCTATTAAATGCAGACTTGGTGAGCAGACTAAATACTTTTGGATGTTATGTCATTTCCAGGTCTCGTCCTATTGTGAACACTAGTGCCACCTTGACTGTCAATCCAACTATGATTAATCCTGAGGAGAAAGTTTGCACCATAAGCCGTGGGAACGAAATCCTGCATGTGTCCTGGTATGTCTGCCATCTTCTATCAGCCAGAATTTATTGCATTCCTGGTTCAAAGCAGTAAATAGATTTTATTAGACTGTTTATCCAAATCCTAAACATGCAGTAATAGGAGAAAAGATCCTGATCTTTCACATTTAACGGCAATGAAGTACACTTAAGTAGGAATTTTAAAAATCTAATTTAGTAAATTAAGCTTACTTCATTACATCCACAGTCAGGCTTTGTATGTCAGGCTGGACATATGGAAGGGTGTAGTTATGCTGTCAGTGAAGACTTTGCCCAATGGTTTGGACATGCTATGCTGGTTGAGAGTGAGCCAAGAAGGTGGCGAAAAGCAGGAAATGCCCTTTTCCCACCTCCATGATGTGCATTATTGAAATATGCATCTGTGGAGGGAAAGGAAACTCTGCTGGACTGGTCTCTCTCTGACGCGAAATGTCTGTGTCTCCGCCTGTTCTCTTTTTTACAGGGAAAGTTTGTATACGCATTGATTACAAGTCGTTGCCTAGACACAGAGGCTTGAGTGAGAGAGAGAGAAAGGGGTTTAGCAGTGGCTTTGAATGAGATATTGTTTAGTGGTGGAACACAGCTGGGAAACATCAGGACGCACTGAGCTGCACATGCATGTGAGCACACACACACACAGATGAATACTGAGGCTTACACACACACATGGGAACACACTGTGTTTATTGCACAGGTCAAAAGTAGCCTGGATTGCGATTTTTCTTTTTTTTTTTTCTTTCACTCTTCCTCTTCTGTATCTTGTTTCTTTTTTATGTTTTGAATACTTCCTTTTCTTTTGTTACTTTTTCATCTTTTTGGGAAACTTTTCACCTTTTCTAAAATGTTTTCATTCTTTCTTTTACACTGTCTTTCAAACTTTTCAAATATTCTTGATCAGCACTTTTTTCTTGCTTCCTTTAGTTGGACCCTCATTTATTTTCCACAAAATATTAAGCAGAACAACCATTTTCAACATAATAAGAAGAAATGTTTCTTAAGTACCAAATCAGCATATTAGAAGGATTTCTGAAGGATCATGTGACACTGAAGAGTGTAGTAATGGCTGGAGATTACATTTCAAAATTGGTATAATATTCCATAATGTTGCTATTTTTACTATATTTTTGATCAAAGAAATGCAGCCTTGGTGAACGTAAGAGACGTCTTTCAGAAACTTTTGAACAGTAGTGCACATTACATCAGTTTCCAGCACAGACATAATCCATAACTGTGTTGCGTGATCCATTATACTGGAGTCATCCTTCCTTCAAGCTGTCAAGCGTTATAGCCTGAGGAAACAATAATAGCAAATATTTCATAGCCAAAGAGATGCAACCAATGTGTTTTTAATGCGTCATTGTAATAAATCCACTTCATCTCTCATCATTTGTCTGCTCTGCCTCTTACAGTGTCAACCTGAGCTTTTGCCTCTCAGCCAATGGGAAGCACCTACCAAATCATCTCGGTAAGCCACATCTGCTCTTGTTTACCCACCTATTGATCCAAAGTCCTCTAAAATAGTATTCCTTTTTAAATAAGCAACCATCCAGAACACTAGTCATGCCCTAACAATCTCCTGCACAATGTGGCGAACAGTTATTCTAGGACTTATTTTTACTTAATTTCCCTCACCACCTAAAATAAATGTTTTTTGGCTTCTAACAGAGCCTTCATGTTTCCCATTCCATCCATAAGCCTTTCTTTGTCCATACATAACCTTTTCAATGTATTTATTCAGTAATGAGTTCCCTCTATTCCCCCCTGGGCTAATGATACCAACACATGCCCTGCATTTAGAGACCTCGACTATGTGCAAAGAATAACACCTACTGCACACGCTCCGATAACTGAGCACAGGTGCACAACATACATCTGAACGGCATGCAAATTCCTTCATGCCCTCACGCCTTTCCATCAAAAGCGTTATGGCTTTTCTTATAGTCATTCTCTTCAGCTGTTTGATAATAATAAAAACTAAATGTTTGGAAGAAGTCTTCACATAGTTCTGATCTGCCCAATAGGCTTTGAGATTTAGTGCTGTGTCAGCTTGGCTTCGTCCTGCACCTGTATGCCAGAGCCAACATGAAGGCATTGTGTCCGAAACATTTCTAAATATATCTGATAATGGGTGTGTGCTGTAGAGTTTAACGTTGAAGTTCAGCTGGACCGTCTGAAGCAGCAGCAGAAAGGGGCCGCACAGAGAGCTCTGTTTTTAGACACCCAGCTTCCCGCTCTGCAGAGGACTCTGACTGTGCCAAATGGAGCCAGAGTCTGCAGTGACACCAAGATCTACTTGCAGGTGAGTTTGACCCCAGTTTACCTACAAAACTTTGTAAAGCGGGACATTAATGGTGCACTAAATAGCAGGGTGTTGTGGACTTGAGTCGTATGACTTGGACTTGAGTTTCATATCTGATGACTTGCGACTCGACTTTGACAGCAATGACTTGACTTCGGACTACAATGCAAAGAATTAGGGCTTTCATGTGACTTGCAAAATAATAACTTGGTCCCACCTCTGCTAAATAGTATATACAGTGTATAAAAGTTGGATATGAAATGGTGTAGGGTTATGTCTTAATGTGGCATTCAGAAGATATTCATTGTTCAGTGTGCGTTTTATGAGGAAGGGGATTGTGAGCCAATGAGAATTAAGAGTATGTGGGGCTAACCAATGGAAACATTGAGTGGAAAAATGACCTGCATCATTTCAGTGAGTTAGTTTTGACTGTGCCAAATGGAGCCAGAGTCTGCAGTGACACCAAGATCTACTTGCAGGTGAGTTTGACCCCAGTTTACCTACAAAACTTTGTAAAGCGGGACATTAATGGTGCACTAAATAGCAGGGTGTTGTGGACTTGAGTCGTATGACTTGGACTTGAGTTTCATATCTGATGACTTGCGACTCGACTTTGACAGCAATGACTTGACTTCGGACTACAATGCAAAGAATTAGGGCTTTCATGTGACTTGCAAAATAATAACTTGGTCCCACCTCTGCTAAATAGTATATACAGTGTATAAAAGTTGGATATGAAATGGTGTAGGGTTATGTCTTAATGTGGCATTCAGAAGATATTCATTGTTCAGTGTGCGTTTTATGAGGAAGGGGATTGTGAGCCAATGAGAATTAAGAGTATGTGGGGCTAACCAATGGAAACATTGAGTGGAAAAATGACCTGCATCATTTCAGTGAGTTAGTTTTCCATTTCCTCGCAAGTGTTAAAAGTGAAGATAAGTAAGATAAGTGTGGCAATAGAAGCCAAAAATGCAGCAAGGGATTAAGAGTATCGTTTCGTCCTGCTTTCTGACCTTTCTCACAAACTCCCACTCTGTTTTCCTCTCTGTTGGAGTGTAGGATGAGAAGGACTTCAGGGATAAGCTGTCACCTATCTTCGTTGCGCTCAACTTCAGCCTGAACCCTCAAGCCGCGGCAGACAGATACGGTCTGCGGCCCATCCTCAACTACCAAACAGCAGAGCTCATCGAACAGAAAGTACATACATCTAATGCTGCAGATATCCCACAATGCTTTATTTGAACAAACTGAGCTTTGCATGGAGCGGTAGGTTCTTCTCCTGCTTTATGAAGAGATTTTCAAAACATACATCTGGGATGTTCTCCAAATTGTCTGGAAAGCCATTTGAGAGATGAAGGAAATGTGTAGCGTGTACGGCAGAGAACTTTTCACTGTCCCACCAGGAGTAGCTTTCTGGGCTTTATGGAAACTCCACTGTAGAGGTGTTTGTGGGTATAGAGGGTTAATAGATTTCTGTTTTTTTTTTTCTGGGCAGGTTCTCACGGGATATATGCCGTCTGTTTAGCTTGAACTTTTTGGGTGGTAGTTTTCTCTCAGTAGTTACTGAGACCGTGCCGAACACATGGGCCGCACTGACCATATGCAGAATCATTCTAATCAGAGGTCTTGGAAACATTGCAGATGGAACGATCTTCTAAACTTTCACTTATTCAAGCCAAAAAACTAAGTGGAAGCCCTTTTATTCATGATAAATGAGTGTTCTTTATAAAGGAAGAGAAAATCATTTAAAAGTCTAATAAAAAAAAAAACACGTGCCAAGTTTTTAGAAATGTACTTTTTGTGTTCACATTGGTTTTATATTGTTTAAAAAACATACTGTTTTAAATAACAAAAACGTAATAATAATAATAATAAATTATTATTATTATTATTAAAGTAACTAGAGTATAGATATATAAACAATTTTCTTAGAATAATTAAATAAAAATAAAATAATTATTATTAACAATGTTTTTATATTTTTTTATATTATCTAAACATGTAATTATATACTATCATATAAATATTATATAAATATATAAATGTGTTCGAGTAAGTCATATAATAATAATAATAATAATAGTAATAATAACAACAACAGCAACACAATATATTTTATATAATACACAATATATTTAATATAAGTACAAATATTACATAAATATACACAATATTTAAGGCAAATTATAACAATAATGAAAAATAATTGTATTATTATTTCAATTATTTTCCTAATAAAAAAATAATAGATTGTCAAACTTCAAAGACCTTTCTTTTTTTAAGAATTAGTGGAATAAATGAATAATCTTATATGTGGTCTTTACTTTCAAGGGACTATAGATGTGAGGCTCTGTATTCATTTCGCCTTTAGATTGAGATGTTTTGGAGCTCCTTTGATAAATGTTGTGAGTGACCCCCCTGACGCCCTCCCATTTGTTGACCCAATTATGCTGTTTTCAGACCTTGACACTTCCGTAAACACTTTATGGTGGTTTTGGCTGTGGATCAACTTGGACATATGCACATGTGACCCTCTCTTTTATCACTGCTTGGGCTTCTAATTGTTTGGTTGCTCCAGTGATCCCAAACAACCCTCTTCAGGAGGTTCGGAGCAGCCCGATACAGAGCTATGAGGGCTGGCTGCCCTCATCGGTTGTAATTAGAGCTCAGCAGCTGCTGATTACAGGGAAGCCACTTTGCCCTTTCTAATCTCCCTATTCTATTTTCTTATCCTCATCGTCATGTTGCGTCATCCTCGCACATGTTAGAAATACGGCATCAGGTGGTAGCAATTAGCCGCGGCACCACTTTCCCCATTTCTTTGTTTTAGATTCTTTCATAAATTGTATACGGATACTCTCTCATTAATGTGTGTGCTTTGTGATATATATATATTTATATATTTATATATTTGTATGTGTGGTGAGAGTTGGGTGGTGTCGCGTGCAGCTAGCATGCAGTTCAGGGTCGGCAGCCTCTGATGTGGATGTTGGTGGCAGATAGAACAGCCTTATGGGTACAACCATAGCTGTTTATCCCTTCAAGTGAGCTCTATATTTTTTGAAGCCTGTACACATCTGGTCTTCAAAACAGAATTAATTCAGCAGTTTACTAATCTTTTTTAGGCTGAGGAGTGTTTACCCGTGTAAACGGTAATGTTTATATTCATTTTGTACGATGGTGTATTAGGCATCAATATTGTCTGACTATTACATGGTCATGCGCTAATACTTGACCTAACTGAACGCACTGTTTATAATGCAGCCGGCCGCTGCTGTCTGTTGTTTACAAATTTCTTACGGGTGCTTTTTCAAAAATCCAAGCGATTTTTGAAAAAAACTGTTTCGTAGGAGTTTGTAAATAGTTTCATAGTGTAAGTAGGTTGAAATTTCATAGCAATTTGTAAGTTTGTAAAGGTTTATTGGATTTGTTTTCCTGTGTAAAGTGCCTAGAGATGTTTAGTTGGGATGCTGGTTCTGGGAAGTGTGTCTAAAAGTATGCTTATCAGGGCGATGTCGCCTGCAGGTGGTATCCTTCATATGATTAAGAAAATGACTGGAGAATCTCAGACAAGTTATTTTTTTAGATCACATTGCTCGTAAATGAATGGCTAACCTCTGTTTTTACCCTTTTGTTTGTTTATTTATACATTTAACTACTCTAAAAATATTATAATTGATTTATTTTATGCTGAATTAATTTTTTTTCTAAAAAAATAACATTTATTGTTGTAGATTATGGCAAATTTCTAAAGCTTTTCTTTTCAATACATTTAAGCCTCCCACCAGTTTATAAAAATTAATTTTAATTCAGAAATTAAAAACATTATTGTCATAAATTGCATTTTTAATGTATTATGAAATAAATTAATAGATCTGGAAAAAAAATAAGTCTTTGCATTTGCGTATAACTGTAGATCTGTCTGGCTTCATTTTGGTATGCAATGCCCACTTCTCACCATCCAGTAAATTCCTTGAAATATAAAATCAGGTCCCAGGACATCTTTTTTTCTCATATAATTCCGTTTCACTCAAATAAGTCACATTCTGAAACTGAAATATGTTGCAAATTGATGACTATAATCTCTCAGTAACTTACCTTAATGTTTTTCTGGCTTGTGTTCTAGGCCCAGATTTTATTGGACTGCGGAGAGGACAACATCTGCGTCCCTGACCTGAAACTCTCTGTGCATGGGTAAGATGATTAGCAAGGAATGCAAAGAAGAAATAAAAGCCTTGGGTTTAGTGTGCTTGTTGCAAAGTTTGCAGCAAAGGCACGTTTGAAGTAAAACTATTTTAGGCATGAGAAATGAGTAATGGCTATTCCAGCTACTGTTTAGATTAGATATTTGGATAAATATATGTGATTCATATTAATATATGTGAATATATGGACAGAGTGTTCCCAGGTGAGATTAGTGACACACACACACACATGCATAGATACACAGGAAAAAAACAGGAAGGAGGGCTATGCAACAGGTGCTGGGATTGGCTGACTTGGCTTGTGGAAAAAAAACTGCATAGATGAAGCAGATAAGTTTGGAAAACTGTGGCCCCCTTTTTCCTGCAGTTGATTTGTAAAATCTATGAGTATTTTCTCTCTCTTTTATACACAGATTTGTTTGTATCTGTTGTTATACTTCGACTGCAAAAATATGCCTTACCAAAAACCATGCGTTTGTCTTAGGTCACATATTTATTAAACTGTGGAGGGCATTAATTGTCTCCACAAAGTCTTTGGATTTTCTCGTCATCCAACAAACAGAGGGAATAGTATGTCTTGGAAATTCACTCGAGGCGTTATTCTATAGGAGAGTATGTGAAAATACATCTAGACAACTTTACAGGGACGCCTCGGACAGCATGGCTATTCTTTAGTACAGCTGTCAGCATTTGCTTCCCAGGTCCAGGTTTCAGTCAAATTCACTTTTATATTAAATCATTTCCAAGTGATTATTAGAACTTACCGGTGTTCATTTGTTGTAAAGATCACGGTATTTATTTTGAGTAGCCATTGAATGCAAATCATGACCTCCTTGTGACATGAACCCCAACCTCATATGTGCCATCTGGAGGGGTTTGTTATGAAAGTGCAGCAAGCACTGGCTTCCACATAGGTTCGAGTCCCTCACCAGCCGAGTGCCAGCGTTTGAATTCTGTGCATGCCGCTTCCCCAGCATGGCTTTACGAGGCCAGGCGGTAATTGGAAGCGTCTGTGTGGCCCTCTCATGGAATTTCTCATTGTGTCTGAGATGTAGAGAGAAAAGAAAAGGGGGAGGGAACACGAGGGAATAGAAAAAAGGGAACTTTGCGGAATGTTTCACAGTCTTTGTCGTTGCATGTTCGACTTTATAGCTACAATGGAAATGAGGGGTTTTTAATAGGAAATGTGTGTACAATGCAGGAGGAAGGGCTTCCTGTTGGAAAGGTCTGAGTGATATTTTACTGCTAGATCAGAATACAGTCAATGTCCTGTGTGCTTAATACTTTAGAGCTAGCATAAAAACTACTACACAGGTTTTAAATGGCCAGTTAGTGGTGTTTGTTAATGCATTGACTTAAACAGTGTTTGTGTCTGAAAGTACAATTTGTATATTTGCTCTTGACCCTGTAGAAAGTAAATTAGCCACCAATGGAAGAGTTTTAGGTTTTGTTCACGTTTTGGTTCCGCAGGGACAGGAAGGAAGTGTACATGGGCGATGACAACTCTCTGACACTGACTTTCAACGCAAAGAACGATGGAGGTGGAGCGTACGAAGCCGAACTGTATGTGGTCTTGCCACCAGAGGCCGACTACAGCGGAATAGCCCGCAATAACGAGGTGAGATATGGAGACCCTCCCTCCAGGTGCTGCCTATTACACGGACGTGTGCCAGACCCCGTCCATTAACTCCTACATGTGTTCAGCATTTCAGCTGAGAAAGACCTTTGTTCTGTCACTTTGATACTCAAGAGAAGGCGTGTTTTTTTATTAATGGAGACATGTGATGAGAAATCCTCAGCGTTCAGCATTTTAATGCAGTGGTTTTGGGGTCCATGGAAAATTTTAAAGAAAAAAATAACAATTTACTAAATTACAAACTATTTTTATCACTATAAACAATTAGAATAATATTTTTGCTTCAAATAAATGTCATAATAAATACAAGTATTTTTGCTTTAGTACAATGACAATGTAGAAACCAATTATTTGACTTTGTAAACAACGTGTCTTTATAATATCTTTTCCTTATACAATATAAATTGGTCTTTATATATGAAAATATATAGAATACTTTATATTTTAAGAAGAAGGTCCCTTGCAAGAGGATCTTGGGAATCACAAAGGATTAACTCCTGTTTTAATGAATTGCTTATTTTGAAACGTAACGCCGTGTAAGGATAATTTAAATAAAAAATGTAACATTCAGCAAAAGTACCACAACCGGTCTAAGCAGGTCAAGACATGAGTCAGGGGGTATGAGTTATCATTCTGTGTGCGTGTTTCCCGAAATGTACTGGTCTTTTTCTCTGTTTCTCTGGACAGAGCCTGGCCCAACTGACCTGCAGTTATGAGACGGAAAATCAGACCCGCTACCTCAGCTGTGACCTGGGGAACCCCATGAAATCAGGCACCAGCGTAAGCACCTAACACTCTCCACACACACTTTTATCAAGTGCAGTTGAATCTTACTGCTTTTCTAGCATGTCTGAGAATTAAAAAAATTATGATTTGAAGAGTCATGGAAATGAGTAGAATCTTGTGAAGTCATGGAAAGTACATTTCTATATTGAATCTTTATCTGCCGATCTATACATCTGTTGATCTACTGTTATAGTATATGTAGTTATAGTTTTGTTCAACTCTTACATTTTTCATCGACTAGAAATTGCTTTTTGTGTGTGCGGTCTCTATAAAACAATTTATAATTATCCAGTTATCCTTTTCCAGTATTCACAAACGCCTGGAAAAATGTTAGTTGGCTCATAGTGCTGTCTGGTGGGTTTGTTGAGGGCTGTTTTGGATCAAGCAGGAAGTCCCCACCAGTGATGCAGGAAGTGACAGTCATTTTGGCTGTACCCCTTTAGAGAGTGGAGTTCCCCTCTCCAAAATGCCACTGTGTGAAGGTGGAGGGACCTGTGGCTTTTTAATGTGTCTGCAGAGATGGAGTATAATTGGGTGACTGTTCAAACTGTTCCCTGTCTATGTCTTTCCAGACCCTGTTTCTTTTTTTAGTCGATGCAACGCTGCTCTCATTAGTTCAGGGCAGGTTATCTGGGTGTTTTATTCAGCAATTTTATTATTAACGCTATTTTAGCTCATTATTTTTGGATTCCAGGACCACCAAAGAGGTTCCTCGTAACAACTTGGCCTGTATGTGTAATTGTATCTCATGCAATGAGAAATTCAGAAGTCACAACCACGCACACGTGCATGGACACCCGAACTCTCACACACTGAGTTGAGGGAAAATGAGAGCTGCTCGTATGGGGTCTTATTGCTAGAGTTTGTGTGCATGCGGTGGGAGCATAAAACCACAAATATAAAAGGGAGGCTGGAACTCCCATGCAGCCTGGGGTTGGGTAGGTGACTTTAGCATTTTAGGGCTTTAACTAAGTGGAGTGCTTTTGTCAGTACACCTAAACATGACATCACTGAGATGAATGAGAGAGGATACATTTTAGTGTTTCCACTTTTGTTTTTTGGATGGAATGCAGGAAAGGAACATTCCACCAACTTCAACATCCATTCCGTTGCTATGGCAGTGCATTATGGGGAATTTGTGTGTTGTAGAGAATTCTCTGGTGTAATTCTTGGAAAGCTGAATTTTCAGTATTGTGGCATTGCTAATATTGTTGGCTCCTTTATGAGAAATTGCTTGTATATCTGTCATTTTTGGGGTGTTTAAATGAATTAATGAAATATGCATGTATATGTATTTCTAGGAAGTGAGTTTGGAATTATTTAAAATAAATTATTTTGTTATATTTTCAGTTATGGGCTGGACTGCGATTCACAGTACCACGTCTCAAGGACACACACAAATTTGTGCAGTTTGACCTTCAGATATGTAGGTATGAAACTTGAAACCAGTGCACACAGCTTTAATGTGTTTTTGTTTTGTTTTGTTTTGTTTTGTTTTATGGTGTTTTACCTAAGTGTCTTTAAAAATAAACATTCACACTATCTATAGACAATTAAACTATACTGTAGCAAACATAAATTACTGTTTAGTACTTTTGCATAGAAAACATATCATTGTTTGAATTGGGATTATTTTTTCTTATTTATAAATAAGAAATGTATAAAGAAATATATAAAAAGGAAATCTTATATAAAGAAATAAACTTTTTTTATTGATATTAAAAAAAAATATATGATTGCCTATACAAAATTGAATGATTTATTTATTTAAATATGTATTTCATATTGGCCATCATATACATTTTTAATTATAAGTGAGAATATTATGGTCCCTGATATTTCATGCATCTTAAATATATGGTTAGGTTAGTTGCACATGCCCTTAAAGAGGCTTTAGTATGCTCTTTAATAATCTCTCCATCTGCAGTAAGAATGAGAATAACTCCCAGAGTGAAGTGGTTCCCTACAAGTTGGAGGTGGTGGTCCGGTCAGATGTTATTCTACAAGGGTGAGTTCACATGCAGAACCTATTTATAAGTACTTCACAAGACCACAGCTCTTCTAGAACTCTCACTAGGAAGCTCTCCCGGTTCCTTCACTTTTTCATTTTCCCGTCTCTCTTTATCTCTCATTTTACAGTGTCTCCCGACCAGACAAGGTCTTCTTTCCTCCACCGAACTGGAAGTTGACCAAGAATGTGATGGTTGAACAGGATGTCGGACCCTCCGTCCAGCACACTTACGAGGTAAAGACCTTGTCTGAGTTGTTCAGTTGGACTTGAAGTCAGAGAGGAGGTCATTCATTCATTCATTCATTCATTCATTCATTCATTCTTAATCTTTTTACAAGCAAAAATAAAATGTATATAAATACAAAAGACTGTCAATGCAACACCATAGACAGTCAAAAGTTGTTTCTTCATTGAAAACGTGTTTGTATGCAATTTGTGATTGTACAATCAGAGATCTTTTTAATTTAATTAAAATTTTATGAAATGAAATGAAATGAACACAGAAGTCACTAATTCCATTTCATGTCGGTCAGTTCCGCTAATTGCTGCTTGCAGTTTGGTTTCTTTATATGACACATACTTTCTGTTAGGGTTTTGCTGATGAGTCACGCAAATCTTGCACATGGAGAGGTTGTCATGGAGAATCTCCAAAAGCTACACAGAGGTTCTGAAATAGCACCAAGCTGAAAGGCATCAAGCCATCCTTTTATGATGACCAGAAAGTACAGAAACACCTGTGGAGTTGCTTTAGCAGCACAACTTAATCTTGTGGTTGTGATGGCATATGATGTAATCGTGAAAATGACAAAGCAGCAGCCTTGTTTTTAAACTGAAGTGGTTGAGAGGATTATGACATAACATACACTTGACTAATATCTCTCTTTCTCTGTCTGTTTCTCTTTCTCAGTTGGTGAACAACGGGCCGAGCCGCATCAGTCACACTCTACTGCAGCTCAAATGCCCCATGAGGCTTCAAAGTAACAGGTTCATTTACCCGCTGGAGGTCACGACGGAGGGCCCTGTTAACTGCACCACCCACAACATAGTCAACCCCCAGAACCTCAAGGTAAGAAGCTGTAGGTTAACTGCAGGGCAGAGATTTAATCAGGGTACGAACTGACAAAACAATTAAGACTTGGGTGCTTTCTGTCATTATGTTCACGACTTTGATCTGTCAGGCTTTTCTTTTAAAGCACCGTTTATGGGTGAACTTGCCTGGGTCATATTTCACCCATAATGAAAAAAAAGGAAGAAAGCAGGAAGAAAACTTTTATCTATTTTATCTAAAGTAAAATCTATTAAAGATTTTACTTTAATTTGATATAATGTATAATACTATATAAATATCATAATAATATCTAAAATAAAAAGTTATTATTAATGTATCTGTCTATCTATCTATCTATCTATCCTATTTTGTAAGTATTTATATACCATGGTAGTATTTGTTTTTGCTTATATATATAAATATATATGTGTGTGTGTGTGTGTATATATATATATATATATATATATATATATATATACCATTCCCAATATTTTAAATATATAATTGAGAATAATGACAATTACATTAAAATGTCTGAGCACATTGTAATAATGACAATTTGAAGAGAAAATGTGCCTAGTTGTAATGAAAATAACATCATGTAAAAAGCCTTGATTGAATTAAAATATGCTTAGTGTTCTTCATTAAAAACGTATAGCTGAAATATGACCAGGACATATTCTTGATAGGTCATTTGAAATGTATTCTTATAGGGATGTGAAACTCTTGTAATTTCTGCTGTAAAGACATTAGAGATGGGAGAGTCACACGCAGTCATGTGAGGAGAGAACAGATGTCTATCAGAACATCATGAACTCTTAAAAGCAGCAGAGCTTGTTGATGACAAGCTAAATTTAAACTTAAGGGACATGCACTGTCAGTAACACCCAGTTTGTCCCGTACAGTCAAATACATATGCCCAACACATGCACACACCACCCATCCATCCATATTACCTAATATGTCCTTTCTTAGAGCCCAGCCTGTCACTCATACAGCCCCACCCAAGGGCCTTAAACCAGCCTTTGATCCTCTCATCTCACTCTGCTTCCCTTCATGCTTCACATCCCACTGCTGTCTATATAAACACAGCCATCAGCTCAATCAGAGCTCTTTTTGAAAGACCCCTCTACAGCATCTTTCTCTGTCTCACTCTAGGGTTATACAAATGATATGAAAAAAGTGTGGGTCATGTGTTATAAAAGAATAATGAATCTTATAAAATCTAATGATTATTCTATAAGTTATAGTGGTTTGTATACCTCTGTCTCTCTCTTTTGGGCCATCTGATGGACAGCCTCACCAAATCTGGATGATTCGTAATACAAAACTGCTGTTACATCTGGGATTGTGCAGAATTTCTCCCCCAAGTGGTTGTTTGTTCAGGTTCTCATGCCGTTTAGGGTGTGTTTCTTGGTTTTGAGGATTGTATTGCTCTGCACAATGGAGAAGTTGAGTAAAATTCGGAAATCTGTTGCAAAATGCCCCTTGTGTCCCACATGATGTATCCCTCCCGTTGAGCTCACGGCTGAATGTCTGTGTTGAGTCAGAGGGCGTCAGTACAGACTGAACCATGATGTCTAGAGTCCACAATGTCCAAAAGGGTGGTGAGTTTCCATTTAATGTTCTGTTCCCTTTTCCCCTCTCTCTCTGTAGCTCCAGCAGTCTTCTACCCAGCAGCCTCCTTTACGAGATGCGGCACAAAAACACCACATTGAGAAGAGGGAAGCGCACAAGGGCGAGCTGTCTCAGCTGACCAATTTGGTGAGATTTCTTTAAAGTGAAGGGGGGGAAAAGGTTATGAAAGGAAGTCAAAATGCACAAAGAAGGTCAACGAAACATTTGCTCTGTTCAGAGACTTAATGAGCTGCCGACATAGGGACAAATTAAATAAAACCTCATAAGTGAGTGATTTAGAAAACTACACAGGCAGCATCTCAAATAACCCAATTAGCACGCATTGATTCCAATACAGTTTGAGGTTACCATGTTGCTAAGTGAAAAACCCTGCTAAAAACATCTTAAACTAGCATAAACTGGTTTGCTGGTCAACTAGCTTGGTCAGGCTGGTCTGTTGGCTGGTTTTAGAGTGGTTTTGGACACTTTTCAGATGGTCAGACTGAAAGACCAGCTGGCCGGCCAGTTAACACCAACTCGGCCATGCTGAGAGACCGTCTTAAAGCAGCTAAGACCAGCAAACCAGCCTAGGTTGGTTTAAGTGGGTCTTTTCAGCTAAGGGGGAAACTCTTAAAGGGGTCATATGATGCTGCTAAAAAGAACAGTATTTGGTGTATTTGGTGTAATGAAATGTGTTTATGCGGAAGGCCAAACAAAGTAGTTTCGCTTTTACAACGAAACGGCGTCACACGGCGGCCTACAGTGAGCAGAGGCCGGCGGCTAGAGTGAGGAACGGCCGGAGGGTTAGAGTGAGCGGCGGCGGCCTACAGTGAGCAGAGGCCGGGGGCTAGCGTGAGGAATGGCGGGAGGGTTAGAGTGAGCAGAGGCGCGGGCTTGAGAACGGCGCGGCCGGCAATTTCGACGAAGGAGCGTCCGGAAGGACATGTGACAACTCCGGGCTGGACTCCACTTCGTCCACGGTTAAAAGTCAATCCGGCGATCGACAGCGCTAAGTTGTAGTATTTCCTCATCGACCAGCACGGATCAGCTCCAGGCATGATGAAGCAGATATCGTCCTCTTTTGGAAGACCAAACAAAGTAGTTTCGTTTTCACAACTAAGCACACAGCGTCTTTACGACAAGGCAGTGGAAACAACAAAACTACAGCGAGAATAAAAGTTATGCCTTCTTTCTTTGCGTGAACATTTGGGCGGCGTTATGCAAATCTTCCCACAGAGCGACGTAGGTATGTTGGGGCGTGTTAGAACGAGCCATTTTAGGTAGGTGTGGCTGACTCTTAACTTTTATAAAGAATATCTCTTTGGATTTGAGACTTTAGTCTTTGCAACTTTACAGATCTTCTTTATACACCAAGAGCTTGTAACACTCCAAAGAGAAAGGAAAAATTGAAAACGCATCATATGACCCCTTTAATGTGCAAAACCATACGTAGCCCACACAACTATTGGTTAAAATGGAAAAAATTGAGATGAGAGGAAAAAAAAAAATTCAATGCTTTTGCTTTCACTCACAAGAATGTAAAAGTGTTCTTCCAAGAAAGTTTTGAATTCTGTTTCAAAAACTGGTGATGTAATTAATATGGGAGGAAAAGCTATATTTCATTACTTTTGCACTTTCTTACAAAAGTTTTGCGTTCCCCCGAGAAACTTTTGTGAGCAAATACAAAACTTTTAATGGAAATGATATGAAACTATATTTCAAACTTTTGTGAGCAAACAAAGCTTCTTGTGGGAACGCAAAAGTTTCAGAATGAATGCAAAGGGGGAATGAAAAAGTTGAATTAAATCTGTTTATAATCCAAAATGGTGGTAAAATTTTGACACAAATGTATTCTGGGATTACATTCACATTGAAGGACACACACGATGCTGCCTTTGAATTTGGCCAAAACTGAATAATTATGATTGGTACCTTTTGGAACAGGCTTTGCATCCAGAATGCCTTGCCTGCTGATGATGCCTTAAAAACTCTAGGTCTAGGTAGGCTGCTCACTAGGTTTTGGAACGCATTTACGGAGTACTGGAAGGTCAACATGAGTCATTTGTGTTGGGTAAAATGCAAATGTTGAACAAACACATCTAATTCAGTGTTCTCATGACCTCAGATTTCCTTTCGTTCACTAGTGTTGTAACTCAGAAGGTCAAGTCATACAGGGTCAAAGATCTGCTGTGACTGATTGGCTGCCATTAAAGATGTTTTGCTTGGTTGGTTTAGGTGTGTGTGTGTGTGTGTGTGTGTGTGTGTGTGTGTTTGTGTGCTTGCGTATGTGCGTGACCATGTGATAGAACATTAATGACCTCATTACTCTCCAAAGTGATGGGTCTGCTGAAATGTCCTTGCTCTACCCTCTAATTTCCCGTTCTTCTCTGCGTCATTAACCGCTTCAGCTAGCACTTCTCTCAGACAGCAGCTGATTGTGTCGTCCAGCTGTAGGCACGTAGCTCTCATCCTTGCTCTGTACCTGACCAAATGAATTTTGGCTTTGTCGCCTGTTGTGTTCAATCGCCCACATTTATCATCTCTTGCTTGATGACGTGTTCCTAGAGGCCCATTTATTTCTTTGGCCTGCTCCCTTGTGCTTATTTTTATGAGGGACAACAGGAGTCTTTGTTGACCTGACTTAGTGAACAGTGAAGATGTGTTATAGGATGCCAACCTAGGTTTGAATAAGATGATAAATAGCTGGTATACTACAAGATAAAAATTAACTTGAAGCAAACTTGACCAAGCATATATTATATTATATTATATTATATTATATTATATTATATTATATTATATTATATTATATTATATTATATTATATTATATTATATTATATTATATTATATTATATTATATTATATTATATTATATTATATTATATTATATTATATTATATTATATTATATTATATTATATTATATTATATTATATTATATTATATTATATTATATTATATTATATTATATTATATTATATTATATTATATTATATTATATTATATTATATTATATTATATTATATTATATTATATTAT